CCAGCAATTGCAGAAGCCGCAAGCAGCGTTTGACAATGAAGAATCTGTCTTGCATCGTATCTTTGCTGGAAAATTGAAACGGCTTGATAGCAATAAAAATCGGGTTATGATTTCTTTACTTGACTAATATTCAATTAACTTTCTACTCTTTGTGATTTATGAAATTCAGTTTCTATAAATGTTAGAGTAGATGTTCATTATGTGGTGATCTCAAATATATATTGTGTCTTGCATGCAAATTAATTAAGAATAACTAAGGTTATATTAGTTATATCTTTTGGTATATAACTTTGGTAGCATGCTTGAAATTATGTGAAAAAATTATTTCAAGGTTATAAGTTATGAGTTAGGCTTACAGTAATACTTGAAGTATTCTTGAGATCATGGATATAATATATGTAAAGATAAACATATATGTGTATGATTAGAGAAAGAGAATAAAGTGTTATGATGGTTTAGTTGGAAAACCATTTGGAAAGGGAATTAAAATTCTCGTGATTTTCTATGCTCGTTTTGGAGATTAAAATCTTAGTAATTTTCTACTCTAATTTATTATTCGATTTGAAGATTAAAAATTTCTTCGTTTATTAAATTTGATTGTGTCACATATTACTCGGTTTGAAGATTAAAAAACTTCACCGTTTATTAGATCCGGTATCAGGTATTACTCGGTTAGAAGATTAAAAACTTCACCGTTTATTAATTCTGATTGTGTCAGATTGGTTTGAAGATTAAAAACTTCACCATTTATTCTGGCTCTGTTATGACACAACAACAGTCCATGTGGTTAGATCTACAAAGTAATAGAGGCGTCGTTTGAAGAAATATGTTTGGAATATAGAATTATTCACCAAACAATTGCCCCTTACTTAGCGCAATCTAATGGAATTGCGGAAAGAAAGAGTAGAACGTTAAAGGAGATGATAAATTGCCTTGTTGTAAGTTCTGGTTTACCCCGAATCTTGTGGGGAGAAGCTATTCTTACCGCTAACTGAATACTCAATTGAGTTACCCATAGCAAAACGCAATCCATTCATATGAAAAATGAATGAAAGGAAGAAAACCCAACTTGAAATATTTCCAAGTGTGGGGGGTATTTGGGTAAAGTGCAATTTCTTAAACCCAAAAGGATAAAAATCGGATCGAAAACTGTTGATTCCGTTTTTATAAGATATGCAACAAATAGTAAGGCATATCGTTTTCTGATTCATAAATAAGAATATTCCGACATTCATATTAATACGGTAACCGAATCAGATAATGCTGAATTCTTTGAGAACATTTATCCGTATAAAAAGGAATGTGAGTCGTCTAGTGAAATATCTAAGCGAACTCGAGAAGAAGCAAAGGAAAGTACGTTGTATTAGAAAAATCCAAGACGTAGTAAACGTCAAAGGATATCTACTTCCTTTGGACCGGATTTTCTGACATTTTTGTTGAAAAATGAGCCTCAAACATTTAAAGAAACACTGTCTTCCTCGGAAGCACAATATTGCAAAGAGGTAGTCAATAGTGAGATAGAATCAATATTAAGTAATCATACTTGGGAATTGGTTAAGTAGTCATTAGTTCTTTTATGAATGATGTCACTTTGAAGGTTGTGACTTTTCATAAAAAGATGTGTTTGTATGTTTTGTATAAACATGACCGTTCATGAACGAATGTATTAATACGTTGGTCTATAATGAGGTGAACCAACCGATGAACATGACCAAAATCCATCGCAAGTTGAATTTCTTTCATGAATGGAGGTGTTATAATTTGTATATCATATAGGCGTATGAATAAATAACACACAAATGCTTGGAAATGACAGAGTGATTGATAAATGTGTTATATATTAAAAGGTTGCGGACACAACTGATGTCAATCATTCCAGCTGCTGTTATAATATACTATTACTACATTAAGTGTAGTCAATAATATGATATGCAATCGAAAGTCGAGACATATTAGTCTACAACATAAGGAAGTTTGCATTGAACTTTCATGACAATGAAACGAGTTTTGAAGTATTTGAAATATACTCCAAATTATGTTTTTCACTAAAATAAGTATCCCGCGATAATAGAGGGGTATAGTGATGAAAATTAAATCACCGGTTCAACCGATTCTAAACGGTCGGTGGATGAGCGATGTCTTGGAAATCTTCCAAACAAATGTGCATTGACCGCTCTACAGTGGAGGCTGAGTTTATAGCCTTAGACAAAGCCGGTGAAGAAGCTGAATGGCTCCGGAATTTCTTGGAAGATATTCTATTTTCCAAACCTTTGGCACCTATGTGTATATATTGTGATAGTCAAGCAGTAATAGGCAGGGCAAGGAGCGTTATGTATAACGGAAAATCTCGTCACATTCGACGGAGATACAATACCGTTAGACAACTACTCTCTAGTGGTGTTATCATGATTGACTACGTAACGTCAAGAGATAACGTATCGGATCCACTTACAATAGGCCTATCTAGAGAGGTAGTTGAAAGATCATCGGAGGGAATGGGTCTAAGGCCTAGGACAAGTCATCATGGCGGTAACTCTACCTAGCAGACTGGAGATCCCAAGAGCTAAGTTCAAAGAGATCAAACAAAGTTATGAATGACGGTTCTACATTGTCAAATAACTCAACCCATTCTCGTGATAAAGATAATGTTCAGCAATCAAGGTAAAGCATTAAGGCTTTTTGATGGGTCAATAAAGCTTAAAGCTTTTTAATGATTTTCTAAGTCTGATCAGGATATGACCAGATAGTGTGTCTATAGGATTACACGTTTAGAAATCACCTATGTGAGTGTTAAGTGTAAGCCGCTTTAAGGGGAATGAAAGTAAAGGCCCATTCTCTAAGCACTCATGAAACCAAGCGGTGTTCATGGCTGAAACGAACACAACCGTGAGAACCAAAGACGGTTAAGGGTTAATTGTGTGACTTATGGTTGTCTAGGTATACACCAAACTTCGACGGTTCAAAGATATCAAATCTACCGATTGACCGAGTATATCCGACATAAATTCACTACGGAAAGTTCAAAGGGAAATCTACTTATCCAGATGCGATTAATCCTTATTTGTGAATCACACAGTATTTTCATGCATGTTTTTCCTCATATGACCATTCTCCATTCATGTGGGGGATTGTTGCGTTTTTATTAAGGGGTGTGAATGGGAAATGGAAGAGGCACCTTTTAGATTCACCTCTCCATATCACCCTTCCTTTGTCTATAAATTTAGAGGCTTGGCCTCATTTTTTAGACATGAAATCAGACATGAAAAATCTAAAATTTTCTCCCCTCTTTTCTACATTGTTGCATTATTTTCTAAATAAACATAAGTGTCAAGTGTGATTTGCTCCGTTTGGTGAGTTCGCTGAAGTTCTGTGATTTGAAGTGCTGCTATCACAGAATAGTTATTCCGTTCTATCTTGGGAGGAATTAATCTGTATACCTTGGGCAACAGTGAGGGGATTAAATTCCTTAAGGACACATTGTGCATTCAGTGGGCTCGGAATTATTTTATGTTTTGTTTATTGAACTAACGTTTGTTTACTTTTCTGATTTTGAACACAGTAATACCAACAAGAGATTAATAGGCTGTTTGGCCAAGCTTTTTTCTTGGCCAAAAGTGCTTTTTTTATATCAAAGTTAAGGTGTTTGGCCAAGTTTTTTGAAGGAAAAAAAGTGCTATTGAGAAGCAGAGAAAAGTAGCTTCTCCCCGTAACACTTTTTGGAAAAGCACTTTTGAACAAAATACATTTAGAAGCACAATTTAAAAACTTGTCCAAACACTATAAATTACTATCAGCTGATACATCTACATCAATTGTTAGACCAGGTCCCCGAGCTTGAAACAAATGAACCAACAAAGAAATAGAAAGAATGATTCAATTAGCTTAGAGTGATGTGACTATTTAGACTAATTCTATAAATTTATCGTACAAATTAAATGTGAAATAAACCTCTTAGTATAATATATGCATGCATAAGCCTTGAAAGCTTGGACCACTTGAGAAGCTAAAGGATATTATAATTTAATTAATATTTTGGTAATGTTGTTTCGTCGTATTTAAAGAATATTCCATTTCGAAAACTCCAAGTCTTGAAAACACGTACCGCCAAATTGTCACAAGACGCTGTCCATGCAAATAACAAAGAAAAGAGGAAACAAAAGACAAAACCCAAAAAAAATGATGTTTCAAAGGAGTATTAAGATTTCACTTTTGTTGAAAAGCTGTAGTACAACGAAAATAAATTAACATGCATACTTAATCCCAAATCTAAATTGTCCACCTTAGTTAATTTCTCTTTAAATCATCTTAAGATAAAGTTCATGCATTTTACTAAAGAAGAAATTTTTTCAAACCTAATATACTGAACAGCATGGGTTACAGGAGATTCGGTTTTATTCTTCTCCATACAAAATTTTCACTATTCTGTTTTCGCAGAAAAAAAAGAGGTAAATTATATAATCCATTCTTCCATTAACAAATATTACTCTATTAGCTATATATTCACTTTTCCAGATATATCTTTATTAAACGTATGAGGTTACACAAACTATTCAATTTTTGGATTGCCAGGAGGTGTGTTGAGATGAATAGGATCACTTAACTTTTAATTAGAGGTGTTAGGTTCGAGTCTTTGGCATAACAAAAAAATTCTGGTACGGAGCCTTTACCTATAATAGGCCTTATGTGGAGCAAAATAAGATTACTCGGGGTCCTAATACAGATACCAATCACTAGGTGAGCAACCACAATTATAAATATTCAATTTGGAACCAATACTTTAAGGGGTCCTTTGGTTATTCCACCCTCCTATAGGGATAAAAATAATATTATAATCCCGGGATAATTAATTCCGAAATTAGTTATACAACGATTTTATCCCAATCAAATATGAAATAAACTTATCTCAAATTTAATCTTGAAATTAATTTTGAGACTTGGCATCGGGGCTAAAACTTCATGAACTAACTTCACTCGTTTTTGTATGTGTATATATATGTGCGTGTGCTTATGATTGTTATTGACTTGGAAAGAGAAAAAACCTTCGCACAATTTCTATCCATTTTCACTTTAGACAATTAACATTAACGACTTTACCTTAGGAAAAGAAACACTTCATGGCTTCCCAAGTAGAACCAAAGCTTCCCATTATTGAGTTCACAAATGAAAACTTGAGCAGTGGCACAAGCTCTTGGATATCAACATCCCAAGAAATCCGACGTGCGCTGGAAGAATACGGCTGCTTTGCGGCAGTGTACAAGAAAGTGTCACCGGAGCTCCGGGAGGCCATGTTCAATCATTGCAAGGAGTTGTTCCAACTTCCTTTAGAAACTAAACTCCAAAATACTTCTGATGTTTTGGGGTTTGGATATGGTGGAAATTTCCCTAACATGCCTCTTGCTGAATACTTTGGCATTGAAAATGGTGGAACTCTTGACTCAACCAAGAATTTTGCCAAGCAGATGTGGCCCAATGCCAACGTCGATAAATTTTGGTAATTAATTGTGTGTTCCCTCCATTTTATTTTATACTATTTCCTCCTATCCACTTCAGTTGATTATTTGACCTTTTCTTGTGGTCCACAATAGTTGATTTTTTCAGATCTAAAAGGAATTAACTTTTTTTTTTGAAGTTGCAATTGCCATTGGAGTAAAGAGCCTAAGAATATTTGTTTTATTTTCAATCAAATTAAGGTTAATATAATCATTTTTATTGTTAATTAATGTTAAAAGCTGAATTCCTTAATATGTATGAAAATAACCAAAAAATCAATTAAAGTAAACCGGAGAAAGTAATTTGTACGGCCGGTGGTATTTGACCGGAGTTTTAGGGGGGGAAGGGGTGGGGGAGACACTGGGAATTTGGGGCATATCAAAAGTATCCTTAGAGCTGATGTTGTTTAAGAATAAAGTTTAAGTTATGCTCCATCTATTTCATTTTATGTGAACATATTTTTTTTTGGTCTGTTTAAAAAAAATGAATCACATAAACTTATAATATTTGAAGCAGTTTAACTTAAACTTCTCAATACCCTTAGGAGTCGTTTGGTATGAGATATAAGAAGGTATAGTGTTGGTATAAAAATTTAATACCACCTTAATACTCTGTTTGGTTAACAAACCTGGTATAAGTTATCCCGGAATTAAAATTAGTACCAGGATAACTTTTTCCTTATAGAGAGTGGGGTAATTAGTGCCGGAATAACTTATACCTTCTTCTTAAAAACTATGCACTTGTTACTTCTAATGCAACATACCAAACAGTGGATAAAAAAAATAATCCAGCATAAATAATCCCAGCATAAGTTATCCCGACATAAGCCTTATTCAAACCAAATAACCCCTTAATGAAAGGCTTTTAGATCCAAATAAATACTATAACGTGTTTAAGACCACAAGTTTAAAAAATAATTATACGCACACAAATATTATGGCTGGTTTAGAATCACATGTTTCAAAAGTCTTCATTTCTTTCTTAAACTTGTGCCCAGTCAAATAGTTTCACATGAATTGAAATGAAGGGAGTATACAATTAGGGGTCGAGCTAAAATATTAGGTAGGTGTTCGAATTCAATAGTTTTTGCTGAGGTCATATATTTATATTAGAAAATTTATTAAATAGTATATATTGCGATTTCAGTAACTAAAATGAACTATAGATTTAAAATAAATTTTAGAACCCACAAAATTTAAATCCTGATATAATGATGTGATCATAACTAATTGATAGATCCACTTTGGTAACCAACAGGATGGAGTAAGCTCTTTTAATTTTCATTTAGTAAATAATTAATTACTAGTAATAATTTGTTTTTTGGTTATGTTTTCTTTCGCTTTTGCAGTGAAGAAACAATTTCATACTCTAAATTGATTGCTGAACTGGACGATGCGGTGATTCAAATGATATTGGGAAGCTATGGCTTAGAGAAATATTACGAGCCTCTAAAAAATTCGTATATGTATTTGATGAGATTTATTAAATATCGAAGCCCGAAAATGGATGAAATAAACATAGGTCATCTACCTCATAGAGATAAATCATTTATGGGGATCATTGACACTAATCAAGTAGGAGGTTTGGAGATGCAAACAAGAGATGGAAATTGGATGACTTTCCATCCCTCCCCATATAAAACTGTCGTATTCATTGCTGGTGAGCCTTTCACGGTAAGTATCTTTACAACAATCTCGTTTGTTCTGATACTTTTTGGCTGCTATAGTAAAGTGTTATATAGAAGACAAATATTATAACATAAGATAAAAATCAATTTCGAGAAAAACTTGACTTTTATAATAAATAATTGTTATATAGAAATTGTTATTATAGGTCATTTTCGAGGCCAACTTGTTTGTGACTCAGTCTTAATTGTTTTTGTACAAGAGAAAATCAATTGTTGGTATGACTTAAGTCAGTTTTCAAGAGAAGCATCTTCCATCAAAGGTATGCTTGGTACGAAGGAAAATATTTTCTTTTGAAAAATAAATATTAATTTTGTACTTATTTTTTGATATTTCACTAGGTACCAAAAAATATTTTTAAAAAATATATAATTTAGGCAAACACTACGAGAGACAACATAGATAAGGGCAGCGGAACGTAGTAAGTCAGAGTCTAGAGGTCGAAGAAAGGGTAGGGTTTGGGGGTGGCGGGTGGGGGAAGGTGGTGGGGGGGTAGGGGCTTGGGGAATGGGGGGTGGGGGTGGGGGTGGGAAATAGGGTGAGAAATTTGAAAAATATTTTTCCTCCTTTTGGTTGGAAATTCGTTTTTCTTCAATTGGGCAAACAATGAGTTCATAAAAAAATTATTTAAGCCAACTAAATATGGAAAGATTAAAAACTATTTTCCAAAAAAATATTTTTTTTTGTACCAAACACACCCCCAAAATTTAAAGGGGAAAAATGACTTCCCTCTACACGTGTTATTGGAAGTTATTTTTCTTTGAGACAATATTATTTGTTTAAACAACGTAGGCATTATTCATGATTTTTGTCACTCAAAACACTCTTATTTGCTAATATTCTTATTACTCCTTAATGTAAACAGTAATTTTAATAATTTCCATTCACCAGCCAAAATGAATTAATAGCAATATATTTTCTGAGTTATAAAATGTACTGATACAGGCATGGAGCAATGGTAGGGTATATGCTCCGATGCATAGAGTGATTATGAAAGGAACAGAAGATAAATATTCGCTCGCATTATTCTCATTTATGAGGGGGACAGTGAAAATACCAGAGGAGCTAATTGATGATGAGAACCCACAATATTTCAAGTCATTTGATCACTTTGAATATCTGAAATACTGCGCAACAGATGGCTGGAAAGAGAAAAATCCCATCATAGCTTTTTGTGGTGTTTGAGCTTTTATTGAACATTATGATATTTCATTTTCAACTTTAATTTCTTGTAATTTCACGTGGTTGTTTGCTGCTTTCTACTTTCAACTGTGCTTAACTACATATGTAAAAATCTTAATATGGGTAGTAAAATGATTTACTACTTAATTACTACTCCTATCATGTACCACTGTACAAGTATCGAATACGGGAATAAAATTATATTTTGTGATTTGTGTTATGAAAATATTATTGTGGATATCCATTTATTATTCCGTTGTAGATAATCTTCCTTGCTCCATTGAAGTTTATCTACAAGCAGCTGATGCAGGCAGGTCACAAGCAACTCAATGAAATGACTTGCAACAGCTTCTTATTAAACAGACAGGTTGCGAGTAGCTCATACAGACAACTTACAAGCAGCTCAAGAAAAGCCTTGCAGCTGCTTCCTGAACAGCCTTGCAGCTGCTTCCTGAAAAGCCTCCCAACTGCTTCCTTTCTTCTATAAATAGAGGAGATTTCAGTTCATTATGTACATCAGTTTGAAGTTGAATAATATATCAATCTCTCTCTATACTTGTCTTCGATTTCTTTACTTTACAGTTTTTATTTTATAACACGTTATCAGCACGAGACTCTGCTATTTTGAGCACTTACTTCGAATTTAATTTCTATTTCAGTGTTCATCTTCTATGTAAGGCGACGCTCTTACGTCCGTGGTTAGATCTTGTTCATTCTGAGCATCATAAGGCAGATTATATCCTTGAGGTGGTGAGTTTTTCTTCTTGACAGTAGTGATGTAGATATCACTTACGTCTGTAGTGGCCAAATTTGTGTAAAGTAATTTGAGCATGTTGCTTATATTAAGTTTAATTTCTTTATCATCACTTGCTTGGTTATGTTCTATGTATACAGTACCTATTTTGGTATTTGTTTTTATCCTAATTATCTTAATAAAGGATTACAAAGTGGATAACATTATTACATCCACTTAAACTCCAACAGAGTTTGCAAGAAATATACAACCACTAGAAGTGGTTATGTCTGTATAGCTCATTGTAACTAAATTTTGTTAATCACCAGAAGTGGTATATGCCTATGACCACCATAAGTGTATAATTTAGGCTTTCTATGGTTACAATTGAAGATAAGCTAGAGAAATATTCTCTATATTACATGCACACCTCGATTTGCTCCTGAAGTAGTAAATATTTTAAAAGAAGTTGAAGCATCACAATTTGATGTGATCAATGCGCGTTCAGATAATTATGTTCGACTTCTTGAAGGATGAGAACTTTTGATAATTAATCCATTACCTGAAGTGAATGTGACAGTATTAATAAAGCTCGTAAATATGAACGCGTTCTTGATGTAAATATATTACAATTTACCTCCAAAAGAGGTACGATGATTGAGAGAATATATACTCAATTCATCGTATTTTAAATTTGCTCCTGAAGAAGTAGCACAATTGAAATTTCCTCCTAAAGTAGGAAAATATTATGAAGAGGTATTTTCTTGTGCTTAAACAATTATTTTATATTGTTTATTTGATTATGATTTTCTCTCATGATACCAGAAGTGTCTAAGCAATATTTGATAGTACAAAATGTATCAAAAAACTCTTAAAGAGCTAACTGTTTGTCTAGAAGACACATGACACCAGTAAGTGTCCGAATAATATTAGATTGTGGATAATAAATAAAGGCTCTCGAAGAGCTTATATATAAATAATATGTCATTCATATTATATGATTATGGTCAAAACATGTGTTGTAGTAAACCCGAAGTTTACTAATACAAATGACTATCATATTGAGACTACAATTGATTGGAAAATTGAAAATCTTCATGTTTCCACAATCATAAGGGGTAAAATAATATGTATGTGAGAAGTTACCCGCCTTATTCTTCAATTTGTACTACATCATGTATCACAGTAAACCAGAAGTTTACTAATGCAAAAGCAGTCACAGTAAATCAGAAGTTTTACTGAGGCAAAAGTAGCTACAATAATCAGAAATTTGCTGATACAAAAGTAGCCACAGTAAATCAGAAGCTTACTAATGCAAAAGTTTATGACATAGTAAACAAGAAGTTTACTAAAAGATAGCACATGTCATAATAAACCGGAAATTTTTATTTGCCACGTGGTTTAAATATGATGAGCTAATTGAGAATTCCGATAAGCATTCACTTATCATGTGAACCACTTGTCATAATAAATTTATTATACCAACTAAAATTGGGACTAAGACCCCTGATTCTGAAATATATAAAAGGTGAATATGGGCCCATTCACTTATCACGTGAACCACTTATAGATGCATATATGAGATGGATATATGTGTGATTATTGTCAACCTGCAGTTTGGCATTTGAAATTGTTTTTCTCAAATAAGAGCATAATTTTCAGATTACGAAATCAAGACAGTTCATCTTGATAATGCTGGTTTATATCCAAGCTGGTTTAGCATTAAATACCTCCTATTAATGACTAAACTATTGCTTATGAGACGAAAGCTTCATGTGTTGGTCTAAGATTTTTAAAATTGCATACAGCAGAACTTGTATGCATCAGACCAACAATATAGGATAAGTCCTCCCCTCACAATTGGTTTAGGATCAGAAACCAAATATTTTTACTATTTAATAACTTTTGGTGCGTGATATATAATTAATTTCTCTACCACAAAGCACAAAGATAGATTTCCCAAAGAAAATTTGGGATATATGTTAATTTTTCTAACATTAGGGGGATGGAATAAGCAGTTGAAAAATATGTTATATGAATCGAATTATCATTAGTGTGATCCTCATTCAGAAGATAATTCATGTCAAATGCCAGAAGCATTGATCCAAATAAAATATCATATTTTAACTGCAAATGCTCCTATTAAAATTAAAGTCCCTGAAGGATAGAGTTTGTTGTACACATGAAGCATGATAGACCAATCGGTTACAAAGGTAATAATCCTTGAAAAGGATAGGAGCAAATGATCAAAATGATCATAATAAGGAGGAAATATTGTTACACCCCACATTTTCATACGTAAGAGTGCCTCGTAAATCATCTTTGAAAGCACATAAAGTAAGTTAATCATGTTACCATCGAGATTACAAATATTTAAGATCATGAATACCAAGTACCAAGAGGGTTGGAAGGCTTAGAAGCTAAACAAATTGAACATGTACTTTTGGGGTGAGAATAGGGTGCTTAAAATTATAAGGAGATTATGTTATGCGTTATTTTAGTCGTATGATAGACGTGTGTTATGTTGTGAAGTCAAGCGAGTTGTGGAGCAAAAGTTGGAAAAGGTCCTCACAAGTTACATTCATAAATGTGTTGAAACTTAGGTCAAACGTAGCTGAGCGTTCTCCAAATATACTTGGAATTAGGGGATGATCTACGAGCCTAGTTTCTAACGCATTAAATCGTTCGTCGATACGACATAGGAGTAGAGAGTCTATATATATACATTATTACAGTATTTTCACCACCATCGAGCTATAATCGATGGGCAGGCCCCTATTGGATAACCTCCGATCAGATGGTAAGTTATATACCGAGCCTACTGTGGCCGAGCTCCTATGAGAGAGCCTAGAATGGCTGAGATACAGAGCCTAACATGGCCGAGCGCCTATGAGAGAGCCTACTACGGCAGATCATTTACACATACCTAGCCTTATAGGTCCGGACATCTATTTTACTTACTATATTGAGAGAGTTGAGTCAGTATCAGCACGTAAGCATATCATCAGATTATCTTTGACTCCCAGTTACTTTCAGTTATTATATTATCAGTTCAGTTTCACTTTTAGTTATTCTATTGCCTTACATACTATGTACATTATTTCGTACCGACGTCCCTTTTGTTGGGGATGCTGCATTTCATGCCTGCAGGTCCTGATTGACAGTTGGACAAACCCTCCCAGCAGATAGAGTCAAACATCAGCTTGGTTGGTAAGCTCCACTTCCTCGGAGTTACCAGGACTAGACCTTGGATTCCATTTTATATATACAGGTTTGATGGGCAGGTCTAGGCCCTGTCCCGACCATGGCACAGTTCATTTATCTCTAGAAGCTTGTAGACGAGTCCTGTATATTTTGTATATCAGTAGATGTTCATGGTGGCTTTTGGGTATGTTTACCCCACAGATGAGAGAGACGTTATTTTCAAACGATTAAGAATATGGCCTCATCGGCCTAAGTTAAGGGTTACCCCTCCAGAGTTCACAGTTACAGAGTAGTACGCTCGGGCGGAGTATGGCACCGGGTGCCGGCCACGCCTCTTCAGGTTTGGGACGTGACAAATAAGCTCTAGAAGAGCCCACGACATAACATTTCATGAAACTGCAGAAGAAGTTTAGGTGCCTAAAAATAAAGAAAGTGATGAGATCTCAACAACTTATGTCGCTTGCGAACACAGCAACAATATAGTGCACAACATTGTTAAAGATTATGAGAATTGGACGTGCAGTCCAGACACCTAAAGATGTCATGCCATTTAAATGCAAGTCATAACCTATATGACTCATTTGATTAAATTTATATGAAGATCCATGAAGGATTTAAAATGCTTGAAGCATATAATTCAATGTCTCGAGAAACGTACTCGATCAAATTACAAAGATCTTTGTACGGTTTAAATCAATCTGGGTGCATGTGATATAATCGCCTCAGTTAATATTTGCTGAAAGAAGGTTGCATAAATGATGGTATTTATCCATGTACTTTATACAGAAAATGGCATTAGAATTTGTTATACTTGCTATTTATGTTGATTACATAAATCATGTTGGAACTGCAGAAGAGCTTCAAAAGGCAATTGAATATCTTAAGAAAGAATTTGAGATGAAAAATCTTGGAAAAATAAAACTTTGCCTTGGTCTACAAATTGAATATTTAGCAGACGGGATCTTTATCCATCAACCTGCCTATACAGAAAGGGTATTTAAACGCTTTTACATGGACAAAGAGCGTCCATTGAGTACGCCAATCGTTGTTTGATCACTTGAAGTGAATAAGGATCCATCCGGCCTCCAGAAGAGGATGAGGAACCCCTTGGTCCTGAAACACCCTACTTCAGTGCAATTGATGCACTTATGTATCTTGCTAATGCTACATGACCTGATGTAGCATTTTTTATTAATTTACTAGCAAAATATAGCTCTTCTCCTACACGAAAATATGTAACATGATTAAGTATATATTGCGGTATTTAAAGGGAACT